CTTTGTGTGGAACTTCACCTTCACCACTTCGTTCCACGAGGGGTTGGTCCCTCCATGGTCGTTCACGTGGGTTTTCACCACGTGATCATTCTCCACGTAGACGACTGTGTAAGTTTTCATTCTCCACGGAGACGACTGCGTAAGTTTTCATTTTGGTCACGTGCTTCACGTTCTTGAGGTCTTGTGCTGAGATTATGAGAACTTCAATTTCTCTTAGTTGATCTCCTCGTCGTTGGGACTTTTTCCGGCGATCCGACATACTGCTCATGATGTAGATAGTTGCTTGGTAATTAACTCGATCTTGCTTTTCTTTTGATTTGCCAAGCAAACCAATCTTTCAATTTATCCATCCACTGTTGGGCTGGTTTCAGTTTTATGGCCCAAAAAACCCAATTTCGTAGACCTTGCGAGGTGAGAATTTCCTTTGGGCCAGAGTCCATTCTTGCATTTTGTTTTGTAGTTTGGGCCTACTGTTTCTATAATGGACCTATCTTTGGACTTTGTCCCAATATGAATTACGCTAGAGCTACTAGTAGCCATAAACAATGATTGATAAATAATTCTCCAGAGCTTCGTTAATAAAATGATCCAGCTGTTGCTGCTAACTGCTAAAGTGTTTCTGCTTCCAAAAGCAAAATAATTACAATCAAAATGCCAGCTAAACCATTGCCAACTTAATTATTTAAGCAGATTGTCCTGCTTAATTTATTCTTTTTAGGCTACTAACCACGTTACTTATATGTTAAACTATGCCCTAAGATGCCCTTATCATGTCCATTTGTCAATGCACAGAATCTTCAAGGGTGATTCCCTAACATGATCCCCCATTTCTGAATTGGCCAACTTTTTGTCACTGATCAAGGGAGATTGACAACTTCAATTTAGATGGAGTAATCAATATTGAAAGACTTGAGAAGATAATATATAGTCTCATAAGGGTAAAGTTTCCAAGCCGATCGAAACCCGGTTATCTAATGATGGAATATAATCATTTGATACAGGATTATCCTCACTGGGGAGTGGGCACTAGCAAAAACTTGCCTGGATGGACTATATATTATATTCAATCCCATTTCCATGATTGTAAATAATGAATGAATGTGCCGTTATACGGTCAGTCCAGGCTGGTATAGAGTTTAAAAGAGTGAGAAAGGAAAAGGAAATTAGCTGACAACAAACACACTGCCTTCAAATGATTTTGTTTGTGGTTAAACCAACAAAACGTAGCTGGCAAATACTTGATTATTACCATAATCTTTCCCTATAAAAACATTTGAATTCTCTCCCATTTCAGTCAGGCTCAAAACACTCACTTCAATAGCTTCTCTCACGTTGTTCTTAAAAGAGTTCTTGTTTAGCTGAGTTGGTCAGAAATGGCGGGTAGCAAAGTGGCCATGATTTTGATTGCCTACACCACGGTTCTTGCTGTTGTTGCGACGGGAGCCACAGCTGTGAGTGAAGATCTCGGGGCGACTGCTCCGTCGCCAATTCAAGGTGCTGGAGTGGCTCTGGGTGTTCCTGCTGCTCTTGCTGCCGTAGCTTGTATGGTTGCATGGTTCTTTTGAATTTAGTTACTTTTATGTTTTCCTTTTCACTTGGTGAATATTGTCCAAATGTTTTTCTTCTTTCCGAGTTTCGTTGTGTTGGTAGATTGCTTGAGTTTATTCCGAGCAACTGGTATCATGAACGGATTCATTGTTCTTTGAAGTAATTAACTGTTAATAAAATCTTGATTTATTCTCTTTGTTTATTCCACTCTCCACTGCAAAAAATATATGTTTCAAGGTTAACAACTTTATAATTCTATTTATCTGCTGAAAATTGGAATGGTAAATCCCATGACATAGCATTAGAATAGCACTGATCTTAGTCATGGTAAGTTACTCCACGGTCAAGACTATCATACAGGACAATATTTCCATGATAATGGTAACTTGATCTTTGAAATTATCTGAGGATTAAGAAGGTAAATATTCAAGGGTGACACAGAAAAGGATTCACAAATTACAGTTATGGAATGAAGGCACTAAAGACGAGCCCATTCAGGTAAACATATAACTGCACAGTGGCGAGCACGAAAATGAACGGTCAACAGTCATGTTTGCTTTATGGAACCAAAAAGATCCTTGTAAGAACGCTTGGGAGCCTCAGTGCGAGAAACTATCTCCACAACTTTGAAAGATGATTCTGGATGGACTAATGACTCAACAGCAACTTCTGCAACTTGATCTCTGGATATGGTTCCTTCATATAGTGTATCCTGACGAGAGAAAGAAAAGCTTATGTTAGGTTACATGAGAAAATGATGAAAAACAGCAGAAAACAAAATAAAAATCTCTTGGTATTGAAGGTGGCCAAATGAATCCAAACCCAAAAACTGATAGAAAAAAAACTGAACTTGAATCAAACCTGACCAGACCTGAACTAACCAAAAAGTCAAAGACACTTATTTAAACAATCTGAACCCAAGATTAATCCGGTCTAAAACATAATAATTCAAACTTAACACTAAAAATGTAAAATTTAAATAACAATTTCATTTTAACCTGAACATGAGCTCAGCCTAAACCTGAAAAGGAGTCTGAAAAAGTTCCAAATCCAAAATTATCCAAACCCGTTGTGACCCGAACCACAAATTGACCCAATCCAAACTAACCATTTACCACCTCTACATGGTATACATCATTACCTCTGGTTCCATGACAACATTTCCTGTTGGCGGCTCATTTCTCAACCCACCAGGCCTTATTATCGTGAAGTCAATACCAGATTTCCTGACATACTGCTCAGCTTGAAGTTTTGCTATCAAGGTGAGTCCAAAAACATTGAGAAAGACGTAAGCTGGATTAAAAAGCTGTCCCATTGCTGCTCCATTGACTAAAATAGAGCTGATAAGAATGAATCTGTTAACACCCAGTTTTCGGCACGCTTCAACAAGGTTTACGGTGCCAAAGTTATCAACCTGCACAAGATAATTGATTGAATACTAAAAACTATGGAAGAGTGCCAATGAGAAATTGCAGTCATGCAACTTGAAGGCTATCAAGTAAAGAAAGGCATATGAATTAAATTATAGCCTTTCAATGACAAAAGAGGTCATATACTTGGGCTGCTTGTGGGAATTATCAAACTGCAAATTTAACATGACAGAATCATATGATATTGTATCGCATAACAAATTTCACTAATAAGCATCAACTACATATCCAATATACATGAAAATGAACTTTGAGCAGAAGATCTACATCCTGTCTTCTAAATGCAGGCAGCATATTCAATACAAGATCATGCTAACTGAACACAAAAAAAAGGCTATTGGTAAATGGTATTGCAATTATAAATGATATCAACTCATTACTGTGCTGGAGACAATCTGGCTATGGAGTTAATTAGCATCAACATCTACAGGTTAGCACTTCTAAAATGAAAAAGATCATATGCACAATGTATATATAGTTATTCATGTTGATCGTAGTTATGGCCATATGAATATTCACCACAACAATTAACAAACAAGAATTTGACAATAGGGCATAGTCATCAGTACAGCGTCATTATGCAGCTCCATTTTAAAGCTTCAAATTTGGAAAAAGAAACATAAAAGAAAGCAGAAGGAAAGGGCAACACCAGCCCTATCCTCTGCTGAACCCCTTGGAAAAAAGACAGCCAAATGTACCATCAAGATGCACGACCACATCTCAAAAGGGCACATCATATCGTCATAACCTCAGAATTTTCTAGAGAACACAAGAATCACGGGAAAAAACACAGTAGACATTGTTGATACATTGTTCCTCTAGATTATCGTAAATTAATTTAATATCAGGAAACAAAAAGTTGAAATATAAACGGAATAGCATAAATCTCAACTGGAATAGAAAGATTTAACCTTCCATGGAGCAAACAAGTCCCATCCTGGCCGAAATCCTGTAGCACATATCACAGCTTCTGAATCATCACCAATTGCTTCTGCTAGCTTTGCAGAACCCTCCGTGACATCTGCTTTCACCTGTAAAACCAGATACTCACATTTCCAAAACCAAATAAACTCTATATAACGCACATAATGAACAGAAACAAATTACACAATCAGAGGACACTTTCACTTTGCAATTCTAACAAACGCCACCACAATAATCTTAAACATAGATTTTATAGACACCCAATTAAACTTTCAGCGTGTAAGTTAATGTTTTCACTTCAAGACCAGGAAAAGAACTAACAACTAGAAGAGCTGGGTTGTCCTTTGAAAGCAAATTTTTGGCCTTGTCCAAATCACGAACCCCAGCCTTGACAGCAAAACCCTTTGCAAGTAGCTGTTCAACAACCCGTTTCCCAGTACTTCCAGTAGCTCCTGCCACAAATATTTTCTTTTTTACATTCGCATTTGTCTCACTATTTTCAGAAACCTCCTCTGTTATTTCACTTCCTTCCATCTAACAAAAACACAGACAAAGAGCAAAGAAACAAATTCAACCAAAAAATAAAAACACTATAAAGAGAGAAAAAGAAGAGAGCTTGTCCTAACGTAAGTGTTACCTTAGTGGAATTTAGGGGTCCGGTTCTGCTGGTGGTGGTTAAGGAAACGGAAGGGAAAGTTTCGGCGAAGGAGAGAGAGCAAAGGTGGAGATGTGAAAGAAGAGAGTTTCTGAGAAGAAGCGTGGCCATACATAGGTTTGATGAACTCAAAATTATAGAAAGCCCACCCCTGCCACAAGTCTACTTTCTTCTTCTGCTCGATTGGAGGAAACTTCTAGTTCTGCCACGTGCCGAGTTATATTTTGTTTTCTCAGGACTTTCTTGTTCACACGGTGACAAGAGTAATCCATTTCTCATTATTCCACCTTTTCTTTACACTTCCTATTTATTTGCCCTCTTTACTCTTTTTAATTGAAACAACTTAGACCTTTGGTTCTGTTCCCTCTCTGAAACTTGCTTCTCTTCTTTTATAATCTTTAATTAGCTATATTGGTACATGAACAGCCAATTGGGAGAGATCACCCACCAATCGATACGCTAAAAAGGAATAAAAAGTGAGCTACGCTGCCCGTGTTGTAAATCAGTATCCGAATGAAGGCTTGATTTTGTTAGAAGGAAAGCAAGTTTTACATCCGCATGTTAATAAACGATAAAACAAAAAATAAGGTTTAAAAGGTGATCCTAGTAAGTTCAGTCATGAGTAACTAAACCAAGCTAGTCCAACTTCTGAGCATTACTTAACTTTGTATAAACAAATGGGCTAAGTTCGACAAGCCTTTTTAAGAGGTGAAAATACATCAAAACTTGCATGTGAAAAGAATTGGTTGAGGAAAAGAGAACAAGATCCATCCCCACAATGCCGCAACGAGATTGCATGACACAAAGCAGCTCCGTAACTTGGTTAGTTTGGTGAATTCAGGTCTTCTCTTACATCTCATACTATCATATGCACTGTGTTGCCAGCTATCATCAATATATTATCATCTTGCAGTTTCTGACAATTGTGAAAAAAGTTGGAATCAAAAACATGTAAACTTGTGGTGTGACCCACATGTGGATATGAGCTTCAAAATGTTGTGCCAAATAAGAATTAAGGGGGGAAAAACATGTATCATTCATATGTAGAATATGAAAGCTTCACATCAATATTCCCATCCACAACCATATATCCATATTACCTCTAATAATGACTTGATCTCTGCACTTGAATAGCGGACATCTGCTCTGGTGTTGACAACATCCTCTACTTCTGCAATAGATAGAGTATCCTTGTGATTCGCACGCATATGCTGACCAAATATAGTTTTAAATGCTTCTATTCTGCAATCCATCAACAAGGAGATACATATAAGTATTTATGTGAACCATTGAACAATAGAGTAGAGCTGATTTTGGGGAATTCATAATTGAAGCATTTTTTAGGACTCAGACCTTTCAATTGAGTTAGTGGCAGTGGGCTGCTGGGCTGTTGGAGGATCATCTACTTCCATAGCATCTGTAGTTGGGCTAATTAAAGCAAAAGAAGAGAAGGTCAACCACAAGTACAAGTTTTGATCCAATACTAATTTTCTGCTGAAGTTTATAAGAACTAAAGCAAGTATCTAAATTATAAAGATAATTTAATTGCTTATAAACAATATTTATTTGTAAAACTATAAGCAACTTGAATTTGTAAAATCCACAGCTTTTTTCTTTTAGGCTTATTGCACGCTCACCCTTGACTATCAGCTCTCCGAGTTCTCACTTCTTCTCTCTGCCGTTCTTGTTCACGCTCCTCCATATCTGACAATTCTTTATGATAAATAGCAAAATTTAGAACTTTCAGAGCAGCTTCAACATCTATTTTTGTAACCTGCCATGATGAATCATCATGCAATAGAAGTATTAATAAGATTCATACCCAAATGTGTATAGAAGGAAATATAATGGAGCAGCCACAAGCAACGGCCAAACATGCAATTCAAATAGATATATAAACATGAAATCACCATATAGTTTTGGTCACAGTTGACCCCACAGATTAAAGATTGAATTTAAAGAGCAATAAAAGCAAGTTTTGAAAAGAAAAAAAAAGTTACAATGAACAAGTTGAGGAATCCCAAATACAATAACATTACAAGAAATGGCTTTTTTTTTTTTTTCAGGAAATAAGATACCTTTCTGCTTAACTTCAATTTTGCATGAGCAGTTGACAGACGAATTATGGTTTCCAAGGTTCTAGCCGTGATTGGAAGGGTTCCACCAGTCTACAAATACCAATCAGAGCATTAGAATTACCAATTGAGGTAAGCATATCAAGGTGTTTGTTGGTAGATTGCAAAAGCAAACCTTTGCATTTGAACTGGCATTTCTGAGCTCTGCATAAGCTGTTGCAATATGTTCTGAAGCCTGCAGATTAGAATATTTTAGGGTAAGCCCAGAATAAGTATATTACAGATGGTTGGGGAAACAAGTTATCAGGTAATCAAGGTTTGTTTTAGAGAAGATATTGCAGAATACCATGCACAGTGTTTCTACAGATTACAACAGAGGAACAAAGAAAAGAAGAAAGCAATCAATTTAAATGACAGGATAATATAAATGAATACTGAATAAAGAAATAAATATATATTTCACAACCTCATCAGTCAGCTCAGGCTGAATCCTGTGTTTGGCATAATGAATATACTTTTTGAGAAATTTTATGGTAAGAGTATCACGCTTCCGACCTCTTTCTGTTTTTCTCCCGTGTAGCATTCGGTTATACTTGACAAAAACAGATGAGTCAGTATCAGCTTCATCTTCTCTTCCATATCTTGAACTTCCATCAAGAGCTGCCTCGCCTGAATTATTAATTACATTAGTCTGTATACGTGCCACCAATCTTTAAGTACACAAGAAAATTATTTGCCTACCTCCATCAATAGCTGAGCGATATCGATGCATTCTCAAGACATGCTCTGAGATTTGACGATCAATATCAGCATCCATTTGATCCAAAACAATAAACAGTAAATCAAAACGAGAAAGCAAAGAGTCTGGAAGTCCAATGTTCTTTGTTGGAGTCAATGATCGATCATACTGCACATTCAATCAACAACTGGTATAAACTCAAGATTCACAACCCTGCTAGTGGAGTGACAGTGCATCTTAGCAACCAATATATACTTACAGTTCCATATATGGGATTTGCTGCAGCCACTACACTGCAACGAGCATTCAATGAGGCATGGATACCAGCTTTGGCAATAGTTACTGTCTGCTGCTCCATGACTTCATGTATCGCAACACGATCTTGATCATTCATCTTGTCAAACTCATCAATGCAGACAACACCTCTATCACCAAGGACCATTGCACCTGCTTCCAGTCTTCTTTCTCCTGATCATAGAGATATTTAATTACCCCAAGAGCACCAAAAATAGGACCACAGGCAGAAATGCTAGAATCATTGAAATACTTTACCTGTTTCTTGATCAGAGGTGACAGCAGCTGTCAAACCAACACCAGAAGAACCTCGACCAGTGGTTGAAATGGCCAAGGGAGCAATGTTCATGATTGCTCTTAAAAGTTGGGATTTTGCTACAGATGGATCACCAACCATCATCATGTTAATATCCCTAAAAAAGAGCAAGAAATTAGCTTATGTTAAGGATTAAACTCTATTTAATCCAAGGCATAGTTTTATGGACTGCATAAAGCATAAAATAAGAAGAAAAAAGAAGCAGCTTATAGGATGGAATAACAACCAGTAGGGCCATTACTTACCAGATATACAACTACAAAAACAATTAAATGACAAGAGTAGGACTAACCCTCGTAAATGAGTGCCATTCTTCAAATTCTTTTCCACTCCACCAAGCATCAGTAAAACCACAGCTTTCTTTATCCATGAATGCCCATATATAGAAGGAGCAAGGGAGTTACCTAGCAGGTCAAACGTGTCATCTCTCTCTGCTATCTTTTTAATGTTTTTCAGGTCTTCAGGACTGTAGATTGGTGCATTGGCCTCCTTGTTGAGCAGAGAGACATTATTAGCTATAAGGACCGTCCTACATTGCAAAATCACTCATTAAAGATAGTAAACGGAAAAGACCAAACTACAATGAGGATTAATATTTACTTCCAATAATGCACTACATAAGAGATACCTGAATACACCGTTCACACTACCCTTGCTTTTTCCTGGAAGTGCTTTATATATTCCTACAATAGCCACACGATCTCCAGGCTTGCATGAATCAACCAGGTCATCCTCTACTATAACATCCACAGTTCGTGGAAGCTGACCAGGTGCAGCATTCTCAGGAACTTCTTGAATTGATAAGGTCTGGTGATCTTTGTATTGGCACAACCCATACTCAGTAACCAATAAGTTGCCATTTTCATCCTGAAACAATATTCCCCACGAGTCAGGCTTAATCCAGTAGCCATACTGATAATAGAAGATCTAAAGCGTAGGAATTACCCTGGTAGGATACACAGACCCAGTTGGCAAACCATTGTTGGAGGTGATGTCTCGATATTCCCTAACAGTGAAGTTTTCAGTCGCAGGACAAAAGTGAACACTTTTGACAACCTTTGGTCTAACCAGAGAACCTAAACGAAGGCAGGTTCATGTTAGATATATACACACACACACAGTATAACATTAAAAAGCATTGATGGGGAAATGCCAAACTATATTTCTAGGATTGCAAACCTTATCGACAGCATGCCAAAGCGTCTTTAGAGCATTAGGGACTTTCAGGGCCCAAAATAAGCAAATTTCAAAGCAAGTGCCCACGTTTTACAAAATCCCATATTCACACTTTTATTACATTATGTGAACAAGTAAAGTAATTTATACTTGAATTTAGAAAGAAAAAGGGGGATAAAAAGGGTACATTTGGTGACAATGCCCTCGACGCAGACCATGGAGCCAATGAATTCGCAGAGGAGCACTCTGGGTGTGACACGACGAGAAACAAAAGGGCCTTCAAAGCCCACATGAAGTATTTCTCCTTCTTTCACGTACTTTGGGTCAATGCTTCTAGCGGCTTCCGTCACCGCATCGCAAAATGGTTGCATATATTCACTCGGATTCTTCAGAATCCTAAAAGTCAGAACAATAAAAACAAAAACCCAATGGACTTAACTAAAGCTCAAAAGGGGGAAAAAAAGAAAAGGAGAAAGAGAGAAGAGGAGCAGACCTAGGAGCCAAGTTGCTAAAGGAGTGGAGATCGGATATGTTGACGATGAGGCGGCGGCGCTTGTGATTTATCATAGCCTTGATTTCATCTTGGTAAATCTGATCAATCAATTGGACAAGAATTAAAACTATGGATAAATTATTACTAGGAATTTATAAAGAAAGAAAGAAAAATGAGAAGACCGGGGAATGAATATAGATAGATTAAGGAAAAGCACATCTTGAGACAAGAATTGGCTGATATCTTTCTTCCGATCAGCATAATCTTGAGCTCCCATCTCCATCTTATTGGTTCTCTCTTTTCTTTTCTTCTGTTACTAGTCTACGCTTTGAGAAGAAAACCAAACGCTATCGCAAATATGCAGAAAAGGGGGGGAAATGAGGCTCTCTTTTCTTCTTCTTTTTTTTTTTCTTTTTTCTTTTTTCTTTTTTCTTATTGCTTCAGCCCCACTAGAGAGATCGTGGTTTTGGCGGGAAGCACTGGGGGCGATATCCGTGTTTTGGCGGGAATGGAGCCAATATATCCTCCAGGTGTTCACAGCATTGACGGTTCCGCCGAATATGACTCCATGGCCCAATGGATAAGGCGCTGGTCTACGGAACCAGAGATTCTGGGTTCGATCCCCAGTGGAGTCGAGCTTGCTTGCATGCCTTTGACCTAGACCACTTGTTATTTCAAAAATGCAATAAAATTAGTAGTGACCCCTTTTCACAAAATTTAGAAATGGGTGAGTTTTTGCAGGATTAACTTTGTGGGCCGGAATCTATACATATAGGCTGTCCATCCCGGAAATCCGAAGAAATCGTGGCCCACTTGATAAAATAATTGACTTAAAAGATCGAGAGCCCTTAGGCCCAGTCTTCCATTCAATACATTATTCAGAACAAAACAAAATCTCTCATTGCTGATTAGCCTCATAAATAAGTTTAAAGAAAAAAAAAATGAAATTGGTCCAGACTTCTTTGGCCAGTTAGAATTCCACTCAAAATTATTACAACACTAACGATTACAAATGGCTCAAGAAAGTTACACGAATGGAGCAGCCTGATCACAGATTCAGAGCTGACTCATCTTATCTTCCATCATAAAGGCAAACTAAGTGACCAACCACCGATGAGATTTTCATGGCTTGAAAGCAGAAAATGCCACGACCGAGTTGTGTCCACCAAATCCAAAAGAATTGGAAATTGCTGAATCATAAACAGCTCAGTTAGTATTATGGTTTCAGTTCCAAATCCACAAAAAGTACGTAAAGGGGAGACAGGCTTGAAGAAATTGCAACAGGAACTAGTCATGTGGTTTCCAAGGGTTAGGAGTCTTACCCACATTAACCTCATGCTGCTGCTTTACATTGGCAACAGTGTCAAACTCAACTGAAGGCTCTGGATTCTGCATTCAAAAATTCAGCACTTCAAGCACTTAATCTATGAGAATAAAAATCACAAGATGTTCTGTTTCGAGGAGAATCCTAAACTGGTTTTTGGGTAACCAAAAAGAGCCTATCGATAAAACTGATAATTAAAAGTACTAATATTATTAATAATAACAGAGGAGGAGACCTGGTGTTTGGTGGACATTTAATAAAATAACAGAGACAGGTGCAGACTGGCAGTTTGAAGAAAAAGTAGAAATGGGAAACTATTGTATTATAATCATGCATGAACAAGGCTTACACACTATCTTAAGTTAGTTTAGATACATTTCCCAGAGCAAACATGGCGCTAGACAAGTAACTAATACGTACAAATTGATTTATGGAGGGATGCAGCCATCCTGTGGTAATGGCCTTCACAGTGGCAATGGCTTCTAAACCACCCGATGCACCCAGGCAGTGACCTATCATAGACTGAAACAAGAAGAAAAGCAATCAGCCAATAGCAAGAGAGCAACATTACAGTATGGTCATCTCAAATTTTGCATATTTTGGGATAGAAAGAGAAGGTACCTTTGTGGCATTGATTTTGATGTCTGATGTATTCTTGAATACTTTTTTAATAGCATTTATCTCGGCCAGGTCACCAGCAAGGGTAGAAGTTGCGTGTGCATTAATATAGTTAACCTGAAAAATAGGACTGGCTTAGTTTGCTAATTTTCACCTTTGAATGAACAAATTTCAGAAAATAATTACATTCTGAACCCTATTAGTTGCACTTTAACATCCAAAGTAGACAAAAACAATTACCCGGTCACCGTACTGACTTATGAAATAATTATGAAGTCAGTTTTCAACAGTCCCACTTAAATTGAAGCCTAAATCTAATTGACAATAAAAGCAATGAGAAAATTAGAAGTTAACTATATTCATATTTCAAGGAGTCTCAACTCAAAGACTTATCATTACATTTACCATAAAACAGAATTAGCTGGAGCTATTGAATTTATTTTTCAAAAAAAAAAAAGCTTTCAGAGGTGTCATTGGACCTTGATAAAACGACACAACATAAAATGGGGAATGAGAAATAACTGAAACCAGACGAAACTTGATTACTCCTATGAAAACATTATTCCTAACATATAACAAAAGAATTGGTTGAAAAGAAGAAAGAATACCTCCTCAGGGGACACACCAGCATCTTCAAGGCTTCTCTCAATGCAGGAAGACACCCCAAGACCATCAGCTCTTGGATCAGTCATATGATAAGCATCACAATTAACAGCTCCACCTAAGTACTCGGCAATAATTGGTGCACCTCTTTTCATTGCATGCTCCAAGCTTTCCATTACCTGGAAAGCAAAAAAATTATAACTCTTTGTAAAAGGCTTTTGCATCATCCCCCTCATCAAGATCAGTCAGGTTAATAACATGTAGAGACTGAGGGTTATATTCATAATAGCCAACTAAGTTGAAATCAAACCAAGAAGCAGCAAGCAAAAGCACCAATCCATTAACTGAATGCTAAGTCCCATTATTCAACCAAGTAGTTCAACATGATAAAAGAGGGGAAAAGTATGCAAGTATAACTGGAAATCTTTTCCTCACTTTCCAAGTCAGTGAACATTTATACTTCATTCCTACCAATCGTACCAACAATATGTTAGAAAGTTCACATAAATAGTGAATTAGTGCTCCATCTCCATCAGAAAAACATACTCCAAGGACCAAGATTTTGACGCTATGTTGGAAACAGTCAGTCTCTCATTGTACACACACACACACACACGATATCCACAGTCCATCACAGGTATTCTTAAAGCATGGCAAAAAAGCCTACTTCTCTTATCGACATTATCACATGTCACCAATGGAGGCAAAATAGGATGCTAACCAGAAATAGACAACATAAAAACCACAAGAAGCTAAATGATGCATCTATACAATTAGCATGTAACAAATGGAAGCTTACCAATACTCCAGCACCTTCACCCATAACAAAGCCATCTCTATCTTTGTCCCATGGCCTTGATGCAGTTTGAGGATCATCATTTCTTTGAGACAATGCCCTACATGCAACAAAACCCCCCAGCCCAATAGGAATAATTGCAGCTTCTGTTCCACCAGCAATCATCAATTCAGCCTCACCTCGACGGATGTGGTTAGCAGCAGCATAGAAGCAATAATTGGAGGTAGCACAAGCAGTTGAAATTGAATAATTGGGACCCATGAAACCAAGCTCAATTCCAAGCAAAGCAGATGCCATGTTTGTTATGGCATAAGGAATGAAGAATGGTGTTATTTTTCTGTAACCTTTCTCTATCAGATTTTGAACACCATCAGAAAACACTGTAAGACCACCCATACCAGTTCCAACAAGAACTCCAGTTCGCTCCTTATCGATCTGCAATGAAAACGAATTCAATAAATTTTGTGAGCACAGGGGAAGAAAAAGTTGAAAGAGAACACATTGTTTTAATGAAGCATTACTAACAAGAGCTGAAATTTCAACACAAAGCTAAAGAACAAAATAAATTAAATAACGTATGATAAGCTAAACCACTTTACAAGAGAAAGAATGAGAATAATGATTCCAAAGTCCTGTGAGCACTCATACTTTTCTTAAACATAAAAAAAACAGCTATCACTCTCAACACATCTATTATTCTCGGATCTCTTCATTTTGTAGGGTAAGAAATCATTCACAGGGATCATAAATTTAACTGATAATCTTATCTTTTCAAAAGACCTTATCAAAAGCATATTTCTGGTGCATGCATCACATGTTGTATGTAAAATTGGTAAATCTCATAACTTGATTGCTTCCAAATATAAGATCACATTAATATTTTTTATAATCGTTCCAATGAAGGGTTCTCTAAAGCAAATGTAAAAGATAACTCAATTTTGCATTATCTAAGGATTCTCAATATGTAAACGGTGCATCAAGTTGTGGAAAGAAAAGCTTTGTGTTTGAGTGAAATAAAGAGATCGGAAGACCTAGTAAATAGAGTTTGAAAATAGAGCAAAAAAATTGTGATGAACCCATTACTTAAATCAAAACAAGTAATATATTTGTTCAAGTCATAGGAATATGAACTTATGTTTACATCACAATTATGAAATACATATAAATATGACATGACACAGAGCATATCTACATAGATTCCTTGGAGAAAGAAAAGTTTTGATGGGGGAAAGGAGAAAGAGACGCTAAGAAAGAAATTGCAATGATCCGATTGCTTAACCAAACCAAGACTATAGAACATTCAACTCAATTAAATATGCACAAAAAAGAATCTATCTAGTCAAATAACAAAACAATGACTACAAAATAATTGCACTAAGGACATATGCAGCAAGAACCACAGAAAGGCATCAGGATCTTTAGAATTAAGCTACACCATGCTAAGTTTCAAAAGACACCTGTAAAGAAAAACAAATTCACAAAAATAAAGAAGCAACTCTTTCTTGTAAATATCGCACATTGGGCAAGCCAGTCAAAGAATAGTCTTTGGATTAGTAATTCAAAAATTAAACATGCAAATCACTTGCAAAACAATAACTACCCACATTATAAAACAGCTCAATAGACAAAACCCATCAAACAAAACCATAAAAAAAAGGGCCACCTTAGATAACTTATCACCCCCGAGATCAGCATCTTCCAACGCCCTCTTGCCCGCAACAATGCAGTACCTCAAGCAATCGTCAAGCCTCCTATCGTTCTTTCCATCAATGTACCCTTGAGAAGTGAAACCCCGGATCTGACCGCCGAACCGAGTTGGAAATTTGGAAGCATCGAAACGGTCGATAGGTCCGATCCCACTCTCTCCAGCCAGCAATTTATCATAGTAAGCATCGACATCGTTTCCAAAAACAGAAACCAAGCCCATCCCCGTAATGACGACCCGTTTTTTGGGGTCCTTCTCGCGCTTGGGAGCGGAAACGGTGGGGGACGAAGCGGTAATGGAAGAGAATCTCTTGGTCAGCCTTGGTCGAAGCCTCGATACATTGGAAAAATGGGGATTGGGATTGGGTTTTTGGAGAGGGTTTAGAGGGGAACCTCGAAGCGATGGCGCTTGGAGAGCTTGCATGGTTGAGGGAGGTAGCAGAGGGGGCGATGATAACGAAGTGAAGAGGGAAACAAAAGAAAAACGGAGGCGTGTGTGTTTTTTGTGTGTTGCGGAAAATTGGAATTAGCAGCTGCAACCAAAAACAAAAGTAGGCAAAATAGAGCCAAACTCGACTGCTTTATGAACGGAATTAAAAGAAAAAAAACTGGCCACTACTCCTATTTATGGACGCTCACATCCGTACTCCAGCAATGCTTCGAGGGGCCGTTGAGCTGCACTTACCTGCCACACAGGCATTCGACACGAGTTGATGTGGTCAAATTTTTTCAGTCAAAGATCCTACGTTTTTTTTTCTTTTTTACAAAAATAAATAAATTATGCCAATATCATGCTCATTATTCTATCTTTTCTTAAAAAATTATCTTAATAAAATATACAAGATCAAGGGTTATAAGTTTTTCAAAATACTCAAGTTTCACATCTTAATTATTTTTTTTAAACGATTAACTCGACATCATTTATTGAATTATTAATAAATAAATAAAATCATCAATGTCAATAATATGAATTCATATATATCAATAATAAAACATTATTAAATTAATGAAAACTATGAATCTATTTCTTAAATGAGTTCATAATTGATACAATGAGAAAAATTTTTTTTATCATTTGTCATATCTATAAGTTAAATGTGTTTTCAAAAAAAAAAGTTAAGCATGTATTTTTGTCAAAACCATGCTTTTTAATTTACATCTTACAATAATCAATGCCTCTCGTGGCTTCTATTGTTCAATAACTAAAATATTAAATGTTAAGTATTTGTTATGATGTCATATGTTAGGTTAAAATATCTAATCTTTTTAAATTTTGATTGAAATTATACAAAAATTTATTAGTTTTCTAAATAAATACTCTGTTTTAAGATTACAAACACTGTTAACAAAAATAATGAAAAAATAAAATATTTTTTATGTTTTTATTAATTTAAAAATAATAAAAAATATAATTATAATTATAAAAATTAATCAATAATAAAATTATCTTTCTACTCTTGTCGCATCAATAATCTGATGGTAATATTAATAGTTGATTAATAGTTAGACTTACAAATTAAACGATTTTTTTTCACGGAGTGTTTATTTTTAAAATTAATAGACTTCTATGTAATTTCGACTAAAACTTAGATAAATCAATGTATTTTACCTAAGTGTTAACATGAAAATATAACGTTATGGGAATATATTGATTTTTGGCTTTTTTTCTTTCTTATGTTTTGATATGTTATGTTAAGGATATTCCAAAATACACTTGTTAATTTGTGACACAAGAGACAATTGAAACATTATATACAAATAAAAAGGATTTTATAATGGTTATTTTACATAAGCAATTCATTTTCATTTTAATTTCAATCTAAGATAAATATCTAAGTATTTTTTAATTACTTGTGAAATTCAAGTAATATAGTTTCTTTATGTGGTATATAAGTTAATTGTATCATTAGATTCTAATCTTTTTACAATATTTCATTTTGATATAATATTTAAAAAATCTCATGAATTATTAAGTAAAATTTAAAATTTTTTATTATATTTAATCAAGTTATTAATTTTTTATTTTTATTCAAATAAATATTTATAACTAATAATTGATTAAATTTTTATTAATTAAATGTCATTTGTCATTTTATAATATATGTTAATGATATGACATACTAATATATAATAATGAATAATAACATGATATGTTAATGTAATATAATGAGAATACGACATGACATTTTTATTCTTAATGTCACGTTAGATGAAAAAGCAAATAATATTTTGACTAATACTAGTTAGTTAATCATAAATTAAAAGATTTATTTGATTTAAAATAAAAATATAAAATTTTAATTGAATATAATAAATATAATAAAAATTTATTTTAAAATTTTAAAATATCACGCCTTTCATTTATTCATCTATGAACATGTTTCTGAAATATAAATGAAAGTTGCCATATGTATATCTACCTAAGTATTATGTAATAAAATTTATTTATATATATTATTATAATGATATATTGTCGATGAATGAATAAATTCAAAAGAGTTTGAGTTAAATTTTTTTTTTTTAACTACAAATAAAAATAAAAATATTATAAAAAAATCACAAACTAATAGAGCAATTTCCTACCTAAGCAAAATAAATGAAATTTTGAGAAAATCATGACTAATTTGCTAAAAAAAAAAGAAAATCAGTGAGCAGTGAGGCTATAGCAGCATGGAACTAGGCCTGTGGCAGAGTTAGCAAGAGCCCAAGTGTTCTATTGTCAAAATTAACAGAAGCCCATACGTTTGCCAATAAAACCATGCCATCACTTAACCTCACGCGTGCAAGTCCAAATTGGTCCGACTGGAAACGAACAGGTAGCAGGTGAGTGGTGGAAACTGGTGAGAGCCGGCTGAGGCGAAACAAGGAAGAAGCTCTCTGTCTCCGTCTCCTGCCTGAGTGAACAATAGAGACTTAAAAGAACAAAATGGCAAAGAAAGCTACAAAGGCGAAAAAATCTCGTTCATCTTCAACTTCTGCTGCCTCTGCTAATAACCCCTCAACACCCTCCAATCGGTATTTCTCTCTTTGTCCTTGTGCTTTATAGTATTTGTTACTGTTCATCTCAATTTTCTTCGGTTGGGAGATTTGCAAGACAAAGTTATAGCTTTCTTTGTTTGTTGTGTTTATTTGTGTTGGTGGTGAGGATTTTTTGGGGTTAACAATTGATACTGTTTTTGCTTGGGAAAAATGTTAGGAAAATGGTGTTGAGGGTAAAATCAAGTGAGAAAATGAAGAGGTCAGCTCAACAGAGTGTTGTTAACGAGAGAGAAAAGAGACCCACGTCGAAGTCAAGGCCCAAATCGAAGCAGAAGAAGAAAAACACACGAATTGATGCTAAAATGCCCAAGAAACCCCCTACTGCTTTCTTTTACTTTTTGTGAGTATTTCATACGTATCATTTTTGTTCACAGGTTTGCTTAATTTTTGTTGTTAATAGCATTTCTTTATGGCTGCTGTTTCCCATGCTTCCTAGATTTTGTCTTTGTTGCTTTACTCTTTTGGCTTGGAAGATTTTCTTGTTGTGTTGAGTTGAAATCTATCTGCATATTCGCTGGCTGGCTGTCTTCATATGCAAAATTTGAGTTGTTTTCATTTTTGGTTTACCAGTGAATTGTGTTTCCCTGCCTTTAAGTTGTATATTCTTTATGGGGCCTCGGGAGGTCTTAGGTTCAAATGTACGTAGAAAATATATATATTTGGGATGGTAAGTGTTGGTGCTTTTGTCAAACGAGTTGCCTGCTAGTTTCATTGACTCAAATCTAACTGAGTTTTCCTTCTCTTTTACTCAAGGGAGGATTTTCGTAAGGAATTTCAAGAGCAGAATCCAGATATTAAGTCAATGCGCGATGTATGTTATGGTTTGAAATCACAAATCTTAGTTTAGCCCACAAATCTCTCTGTGTCTCTCTCTCTAACATATATGTTAATGAATCCTGCAACATATTGTTTCAGATTGGGAGAGCATGTGGCGAGAAGTGGAAGACAATGACATATGAGGTTCGTGCCTTAAATTCTTGCATCGGGTATCTTTATTCCCTGTTTCTTACAAATTTATATAATCGGCATATGCTATTTTTAGTTCGCCTGCAATATGAATTGTTCCATGTTCAGCCTGTAAATCATAATCTGGCTGTTTTCATGATATTGCAAAATAGTAGCAGTTATGATAACTTATATCGATCTTTTATGAATATTCTTATAAGAGTTAATTGTTGGAGACATTTATTTTTGGGATTGAGAAAAGCAATTTTAGTAATGATGTTTGTTCCTGTGCTAGTAAATATCAAAGCCATGATCATGGGTGACATTGGCTTGTCAAAGCCTACTTTTAAGTTCCCTTTAAATACGAGGTGAACCTCATTCATGATCCGCTCATGCAATTATTTGCATAAAGATGTAGAAAATACTTATTGACATCGTACTGCTCCATACTTTTAAGCATGTCTAGAGATATTGTGGCAATTGATATTAGTGCATAGCAAGGATGCCAATGATGTCGAGGGGGCAAGTGGTGTTGATTGTTCTTCCCCATTTGGACTTGAAGAAAATAGAAAAGTAGCTTTAAATAGCAAATGAAGGACTTTATGGACAAAATTAGGAAGCAATTGTCAGGGTTTGCCTAACTTCATGATTTCTATTTTGTCTTTGATAGGAAAAGGTTAAATATTATGATATCGCAACTGAGAAACGAGCAGAGTTTGATAGAGCCATGGCAGAATATATTAAAAGAAAGGTAAACTTGCTTTAGGTTTTCTATTGTACTTTATCTCCTAAGAGGTCTTTAATATTTATTTGCAGAACAGCTGCAATGGATTTTAAGCAGTTTATCTTGCTCAAAATTTTCATTGCAGGAAAATGGTGAAGATCAAGACACTGAAGATGACTCAGAGTTTGGTGAATAAACGTTAGGGTTGTTGTACTAAGAAATTTCATTGTTCAGTAGGAATAGGTGTATCGTTTATGACTTACAAGATGTATATTAATATGTTGAATATGTTCATGTCTGTCATTTTTCTGTAAATCACTGCTTGGGGAACGAACGCCCTTATGTTATTGCAGCGCAGATTTGACAGTTTATGCAACTATTCTTCAAGTAAATGTTCATGCCAATTAAGAGTTGCTTTTATTTTCCCCACTTTGAAGAACTTTCTCTGATCCTCTAGGAGTTGGAACTAGGGATCTGGCCTTTTCTGAGTTAGCTTTGGTTGATAATTAAATCCAATCTCTATTACTTCATGGTCTCTCTCTAGAGTAGTGCTAGTATAGCGGATGGCCTTTTAATTTAACATGATTTCACTGAACAGTGGCATTCCTGATAACAAAAATTGCCAAGAACGGATTTATTACTTTTTCAATTGTTCTCTTCATTGGTTAATTAATCAACTCGTGGTCGACCCACAATTCATTTGTAACAATATTTTTGGCCTAAAATGAACAAAAAACACTCTAACCTAGATGTTGAAGCTCCTTTCTCTGGTTGTCGTTTGTCTATCAGCTACTGTGCTCAATGATTCAGCAATGCTTCTGACTTCTGCAACCATTGCTATGACATCGTTGAGCTTATTGACTGCTGAGCCCACACCCTGTGTTGGAAAATTATAGTGCTAATTCAGTAGTTTACCACAGAAATAACAGATTAATAAGTCACAAACCTTAAAATTGCAATATGGGGTATAAAATAATTACTATATTCTTCAGAGTTGGGTAGTGCTTTACATACCACACCGGCAGCCCCTGCTGTGATTGCCATTGGTGCTGTAACTGCACTGAGTCCAGATGAGCACATAACAGGAATCCTGACAGCCCTTGAAATAGAATATGCCGCTGCTAATGTTGGTGTCGCCTATGGATACAAGTAACAGAAAGAACAAAGCGTGTACCATGTATCAAACCAAGGAATTTTTTTGCTTTAACATAATTGGAACACAGGATGAGACCTCAAACTTGCACGCATTGCATCAGATATTTCTTTTTTGTCTACCAAAGCACAATTACCTTCTCAATCAAACCTAGGACACCAGATTTTGAGGGAGTGGAACATTTGCCTCCTTCAGTTTGGATAATGTCAACACCTTCCCTTTCCAGCAGCTCTGCAAGCTTGACCTGTTGGTAAGTTTTAAAATGTTTAGTTCACACCATTTAAAATGACGCTAGTGTGGGCCAACATTTTTAACTTTAAAAGATTATATCTCTGTTGGTAACCTGATCAGGGAGGCTAAGTGTGTGAGGCACGGTTACTGATAGGGTCACAGAAGGAAGAATGCTCCTTGTCTCCTTTGTGAGCTTTAGTATCTGCAAAACATAATCAACAGAACTATAAATCTAGGCTGGTGAATGATGACGTTTATTGCTGAACTAGTAAACACATTGAATATGCTATCTCATACTTACAGTAGTCTATTAGAATCCCATCAAGACTAAAGTTTCTCTTTTGAAGCTATCTCCTTTCATTTTTTGTCCTTAATTTTTCCATGGAAAGGATCTAACTTGTTTCAGTGAAGAAACTTTTGGTATCTGAATATCTCTTAATTTCCCTCAAGTTTTAGTTCGAGAGTTTTACAGTTAAATATAAGATTGCTTATGGGGATCACAGAAATATATGTTTGGTACCTGTTCTGGAGAGAAAACTACACCTGTCTCGTAAAAGGAATCATAATTTCCAATCTCCACCTGCACTTGCCAGCAACTTCATTAACATAAACTAACAAAATTTGATCTCATTTTCTCTTCATTGCATGTCACACTACAACATCAAAAAACAAACTATCACAGAATTCAAGCTTATTAGTTTTGAACTTCAAATGGACAGTGAGTTTCCGGTCAAACCATCAATGCTCCTGCTTCAACAGCTACTGAAAATGCTGCTGGATCTACTGATGAAACACAAACCTGCATAAAGGAGACATGTTAGAAGCAGTAAGACCAGAATGTCACTCTGGTGAAAACAAAGCTGCAAATTGTTGAGGCGGCCGCCTAGGAAGCCAGACTATATTTAACACGTCAGATCCTATAATTCCATATTTACTCGATTTCGTGAGTAAATATTGTTTAGCTCTGTTCTTTTTGGGGTACCCACTGCTGTTCTGTACCACCTTCTTCCGGTTATTAACATGGTGGCAATGAGCTCTAAGCAAGATTAAACATTTACCGGAAGAGAAGTTAGGCTAACGGCCAGGTTCACTAATTCTGGGTCACAAGCTATATCCACATGAGTTGCTCCCCCCTGAATTACAATCACAGTTAAATTATAGATTTCAAATAAAAAAACAAAACAATAGTAAAATGGAATGACCTTGACCTTATCTGCAGCAGTAACAACTGAAGCCACGTTGTTTCTATCGAAATTCTGTAACCCTGAGATAATCTGTAGACGATAAAATTTTGAATCAAATGACATTATTAAACAACAAAAGGGAAAAGGAATAGATAAAGACGAGAAGTTGGGTTTTGGAATTACCTTGAGAGCTCTTCGTTCATGGAAGTCTTTCAACACTGCTTCTTTAGTAGTTGATAGAAGTGCTTTTGCAGTAGTTACACAAGCACTTCTTCTGACAGGTGCATACGGTTTTGAAGGGAGAAAGTTACCAAGAAAAGGGTTTAGGCTGTGTTTTAAAGCAGTGTTAGAAGAAGGAGAAATTGAAATGCAGATTGAGGTATGCATGCTTCACTCTTTTTCTTTATCCAGGTAAGGTTGTAGCTGGCTTTGGAGGGAAGAGATAAGAGATGCTAGCAGCTTTGAAGATCTTTAAACTGCATACATTACAGCAGATATTTTCGGTTGGCTACCTTGGGCTTGGGTAGTTCCGCAACGATTATTCGACTCTGGTGATTAATGGGCTGTTGGGCACAGATTTGCTAGAATGGGCCGCAATCATCGGTGGATATGAATCATATGATACAAATAGCATAAACAGGAAAAGAGCAATTCGCGTCGGGCATTTTAGAACAATTGACCATCAAATGAAGGCCACACGAGAAGAAAATACCTTCACCAAATTGAGCGGATAACCTTGTATTCTTACACTTCCTCGTTAGAAGTTAGAACCTAGTATCCCACAAAACGCTTGTCTTCTGTTTTTTTCATTTTGAGCCTTTTCCTCTCCCTCTCTCTCCTTCCACCTTTCTCCAATTCAACCCACAACTCAGTGTATTCTCAGAGCCAACACCGCCACTAGTTGCCATACCGAGAGGATGGTGTGGCGGAGGAACCAAAAATGGATCCTGATACAGGAAATGCTAAACACAATGAAATAAACAATGCCTCTATTCAATGTTTTATTTTGAACATAACCAAACACAATGGAATTTGGCAAGGTGATAACCCGTTTACCGAGTCTCTCCCTCTCTTGGTCACCCAACTCGCCGCTATCCTAATCCTCACTCGCTCTCTTTACCACCTTCTCAGGCCCTTCCGTCAACCCCGCATCATATCGGATATTCTTGTAAGTGGCATTGTTGATTGTTTTCCACTCCCATAGATCTTTTTACATATTACCAAGTTCATTATCTGAATTTATTCGCAAGAGATTCCTTATCATAAATGGAATGTCATGATTTATAAAACCATATTTGATGTGCAGGGTGGCATCTTGTTAGGTCCATCTGCATTGGGGACGACAATTTACTTTGCAGATTTGTTTCCCACAATAAATGTTATTACAGTAGAAACGTTGGCGTACATGGCCCTTGTTTTTCACATGTTCTTAGTTGGCTTAGAGATTGACCTAAATGTCATCGGGCGCATAAGCATAAAGGCAATAAGTTTCACTATGACTGGACTTCTTTTCCCCTTCACCGTAGGGATTGGCTTCTTTTATCTATTGCATGCATATTGGGAACATGATCAGTCTCAAGGTTATGAAGTTACTATACAAGGTAGTTTTCTATGGGCTGCTGCACTAGCAGTCACAAGCTTCCCTGTTGCTAGCGGAATTTTATCGGATCTCAAGCTACTGAACTCAGACATTGGACGACTGGCAATGCCCATTGCCCTTGTCAGCGATATGGGCTCTTGGGTTCTTATAGTTATTGTCATCCCATTCTGTTCTAATCCCACAAATGCACCATACATCATCACTACAACAATAGCCTACGTATTAGCCTGCGTTTACGCAATTCGTCCATTCCTTGCATGGATCATTCGCCGCACTTCTAAAGGGAAGGACCAAAACTACAGTAAATTTTACTTGTGTTCTGTTCTTGTTGGGGTTGTACTGAGTGCATTTGTGACGGATGTGACTGGAACTCATTCCATTGTTGGGGCTTTCGTATTTGGGCTTATTCTGCCTACTGAGCTGGCGCTTGTGTTGATCGAGAGGTTCGAGTACTTTGTTTCAGGGCTTCTGATGCCGGTATTCTTTGCAGTTTCTGGGGTTAGAGTCGACATCTTCAAAATAGCAGAGTGGTGGCTTGTATTGCTTATCGTAGTTTGGCTTTGCACTGTTAAGATTATTAGTTTCCTACCAATTTCGTTAGTCTCTGACATTGAGCCTAAAGATAGTTTTGCTCTCGGATTACTCATGAACACAAAAGGGGTATGGGCTATTCTTATCATTCACACTGGCTTGGATAGAGGGGTACTTCCTTTTCTATATTTACACATTTACGCCAAGGTAATTGATGAAACATTATGATTTACATCTCAGTTTTCAACTCTATTTAGGTTTTGCAAGACGACGACTATGCGGTGATGATGATTACAATTCTATTAATGACCAGCATAGTTGCTCCCATCATTGCTGGCATTTACAAGCGGACCAATCTTTCTACAAGATACGAGCGTAGAACTATACAACATGCTAATACAGAAACAGAGCTGCGAATCCTCGTGTGCATCCATTCGTTTTGCAGTGTACCTGGTATATTAAAGCTCCTTGATGTTTCTCAAGCTACCCAATATGGTCATATCACAGTTTTCACTCTTCACCTTGTTGAGCTCACTGGCTGTGCATCAGCTATTCTTATAGTGCATGACTCACAGAACCGCAGGTTTGACGATCCGGTCTTCGACCCTGACTATGGTGATAGCTCTGAAACGGAAAAAATTGTCAACGCCTTTAGAGAATATGAAAACAAGAACCGCAATATCACCATCCAAT